CCCCCCCCCCCCCCCCCCCCAAAAAAAAAAAAAAAAGAAGAAGAAGAAGAAAATAATAAACACCACACACACACGCACACACAAATCTCATTGTTAAATTTCTATTGGGATTGCATATCATGCTTTCCTTGTATTTTTAGCGTGTAGGCCTGTCTCATGTGTTTCTCATGGTGCAGGATGGCTGAAGCCACTGAACAACCTTTCAGGCCCAGGGAGAAGCTTAAGCAGTATCAGCAGATTTTTCAGAACACCCATAAACACACCTATCTAAAAGGGCGTTTTGATAAGATTACTTCAGTTGCTATCCCCCTTGCACTGGCAGGATCCGCCCTGTTTCTCATTGTAATTTTTTTCTTCCTGGTCCCTTTTTTTACGTTAATTTCACAAAACTACCATGAAGTTTGATTTCATATAGAACAGTTACAAAGTATTTTTATGAGAAAAAAACATTTTCCCCCCAACTAAACTATTATTTCTGTTGATAGAAGACAGTTTGGGTATGTTAGTCATGTTTTTTCCCCCAACTAAAACATGCGACTTGTTTTGGACAGTTTTATCATTATGTACTTTTATATGCTTTCTATATTACCACTGTATTTTCTTAGTTTTCGGTTGTTGGTAGTTTCTTGTAATAAAAAGTTATAATAATAGTTTTATGCAAAACCTCACAACCCTGGTGAAATTTGCGCTTCTTTTTTTTCCTTGGACATAATACAATTTTCCTGTTTCATGAGCAGGGACGTGGTGTTTACAACATGTCTCATGGGATTGGGAAGAAGGAATGATGTTTCCTCGTCGCAGCTCACTGAATCATAGTGGCTTTAGTTTTCGACGACTTGGAATGAGACGTGGATTGTCAAAACTGTAGTTGTTTCAAATAATCTTTGTAATCACAAGCTGCTGGATTGTGCTATCCCCCCTTTTTGGCTTCTATAACATTTGTGAAAAGTTTGCGTATGTACTGAAATTTGTGCTTTTGTCACTTCAGTTTGCATAATGTGTATGAACACTTTGCACATGTATCAAGACATTTGATAATCTCTAGTACCTGGATTCTGAAACCTCAAGGGTTCGAGTAGTTATGTTTCCAAATTGTTGTTGGATTTCAAATTTTTACTGGAGTTGTCTAAATTCTTGATCTATTCTTATCGCGGCTGTGAATGCTAAGCGTATGCAATGGTGAGTGAGTACATTGATACTTTGTTTGTGGAGTGATCTTCATTTTGCTGAAATTTTTGCGAGGGAAGGTGCATATTGAATCCAAAAACTTATCGTATGCAGCGCTATATGATGATTGTTCTGAGCTTCATTTTCCCTAAATTCTTGCATGCCAAGGCGGAAGTAGTTTCTGTCTAAATAATTGTATAAATACTTAAATCGTATATTTGCGCGTAGCTTCTCGTTTTTTCTCAAGACGAATATCAAAGAAATTTATGAGAATCTATGCTTACAAGCAAGCTGAGAGCAATCTGTAGCCTTGCTCTGCGCAAGAATTGCATGAAGCGAGTTTCCTAAAACATGGGGAAAATAACGGAACTTCACTGCACTAATAATTAGGTAGCCAAATAAACTAACTATATTTACTCAAAAAATAAATAAACATTGCAGAACTGGATTCATGCCGAAAAGCT